CTCACTTTGTAGTTCTGGCTGGTCTTGAACTCATGATAATCCCCCCAAGTGCTGGGATTACAGACAGGTGCCACCACACCTGGCTCCATTTTGAATGTTTTTAACTTTTTCTTCTGTTTCAAGCATTTCTTTCATTCCTTCTATGTTCCTGTATCGTCACAGTTAGCAGTAAATGGGGTTTTTTCCCTCATGATGAAAATGTTTTCACATAACAACGGAAGTGAAGACCACATCAGTGATTGCTCTTGGACAGGAACAGGAAAGCAGTGCAAATATAAAGGATTATAACGGGAAAGCGATTCCTTTTCAGCACTAGAACAGTTCTGTATCTTGACTGTGGTGGTGGTTATGTAGATCTAGAAGTGAGATAAAAATTTTCATGCAGGCCGGGCATGGTGGTGCACACCTGTAATCCCAGCACTCGCGAGGCTGAGGCAGGAGGATCGCTGTGAGTTCGAGACCAGCCTGGGCTACATAGTGAGTTCCAGATCAGTCTCAACTACATAGTGAGACCCTGTCTTAAAAGCCAAAAAAAGAAAAAACACTCATGCAACTTAGCTGAGTGGGCATGGTGGCACATGCAAATCCAGCACTCAGAAGGCAGAGGTAGGAGCATTGCTACGAGTTTGAGACAACCTGGGCTACATAGCAAGACCCTATCTCAAAAAAAAAAAAAAAATGCGTGTGTGTGTGTGTGTGTGTGTGTGTGTGTGTGTGTGTGTGTGCAAGTAAGTTCTTTCTCCTCTGGCCCTGGTACAGTTTCTCTAAGGGCCAAGGGCTCTTGGTCCCCCTCTAGAGGTGGCCCCACATCCTAGTCAGCCGCCTGCAGGATCTTGACCCCTCCTAGCAGGTGGACCTCATGAGATGGTTCAGAAATCTGGGGTACGGATTGATTCATCATGGTAACTGCAGCCTTTGTGCTGCCGCCCAGGTCCAGCCCAGTGCGGGTGTGTTGCTGTGTGGGTGCCTGATTTCTTCACAGTCTAACTCCAAACTGACCCCACAGGCCTCCGCAATCAGGTTTTTTTTCTGGTTCCCAGCAAAACTTCCCTAACACCCACTGGGTCCTGAGCCTGTATTGAGCACTCTAGGGTATCCCATCTCCTAGTCTAGGGGAGACAAGTGTGGGTGGGGCAATTCCTAGCCTTGCAAACACAGGCTGGCAACCTATGAAATGGACCACCTCGGCCTCCTGAGTATCTAGGACCAAGGGGGCACACAAGCCAACTCCCCCCAGCTGGGCTGGGGCTTTGGAAGCCCTAGGGACTAATGGAAGCCAGCACTGGATTTCCAGCCTTCCCCTTCCCCCGGTGCTAGCTGTGTGACTTTAGGTCAGTTACATAATCTCTCTGAGCTCAGCCTCCTGCTGGACAAAATGGGAATAAATGAGTGGCTAAATAAAACGGCCAGAGACCCTACAAGCACAGCCCGAATAGCAGAAGGAACAGAGAGTCAAATCTAGAGTCCACATTCCGAATCCAGGTCATTTCCAAACCAGGAAGCCACAAAGTAAGGGCCTCACATAAGAGCCAACCTCTAGCATCCTGGGGGCTCTACCCTGCTGGGCACAGGGCCAGAATTCAGGCAAGACAGGTAAAACGGGACGATGAGGTCAGATTTCCTGAATTTTTCTTTGGTCTCTAGCTCTAATACATCTCCACACAGAACTACGATTGATCTTGTCTTTATTTAAAATCTTGACTTTTTTTTTTTTTCATCCTGCCTGGTGTGGTGGTGCACATCTGTAATCTCAGCATTTGGGAGGCTGAGGCAGGAAAATTGCTGTGAGCTCAAGCCCTGCCTGAACGACATAGAGACCCTGAGGGAATCCAACCACTGCCATGCTGATCAGAGACACCTGCAAACCACACCATCCCAGCACAGCTGCCCCTGGGGACTCATAACAGTATCAGCCCTGCTATTGATAATGGCTGCTACTGCTTGAACTTTCCCAGGCCTCGCCCTTGGGTAACTATTATCACTCGAGCCTTGTTCTTGGCAGGCAGCCACAACTCCTTTGCAAAAACCCCATAGCCTGTAAGACAGCAGCTGGTCTGGTCTCTAGTGCCAGAGCGGTCCCTTTCAAGTTTGTTCTGCAATAAACCTGTCCTGTTGAGTTCATAGTTCTGTTTCTTTTCCTTTTTCCTAACAGACCCTGCCACAAAAAAAAAAAAAAAAA